GTGTGGGTGTGGGTGTGGGTGTGGGTGTGGGTGTGGGTGTGGGTGTGAGTAGAGAAGAGAGATAAATCCCCACTCACACCCCTCATCCTCACTTATACATAGATAGTTCATATTTTTATCACAAAATAACTTGTTTCGAAAGAATATTCGGTTTGTTTTAGTGTTTGATGCTTAGTGTAAACATCATTATTAAAACTCATCAAATTTATTTAAATCATATAATAATCAAAGTAGATAAATGTACAAAGGACAACATGGAATATTTAATTTTTCAAAGTACATCAGTCAAAAAGGATTGGACATCCTTATGTTTTACTCAAAGATGAAAATGCAATTGCAGATTCGGCGTTTCTAGGTGACTCATGCCGATTATCATCATCTTGATATTCATCGTCATTATCAGATTGTGTCGAAGAACTGATTAAATCCTCTAGAGGATGTCGGTGAGGGATGTGATCGTGGGTGACTGTAGTGAGAACAGACAAACCCACACCCTCTCGTATATGTTCAGTACGTTGAATTTCATGTAAGACCATGTCACAATAATATACAAAGAGATTTCCAAAACGTTTTTCAAGTTCCGGCGGAAAAATAGGATGAATGCGAGCGTCTTGATAGAAATCGGCGAATGTGAATTTCTTACAGTTGTTTGTAATAAAATTTTGTAACAGAAACCTATATTTAAGTGTTTCTTCTGAATGATATTGATCTTCGATATAGGTAATTATTTCACTTGGTGTCTGTGCCAAGAGAATAGGTGGACATCCTCTCAAATATACTCCCCCCCCCTTATCACATTTATCTTCCTCTTGTTCTGTATCTTTTCTCTTTCTTTTCGTATTCTGGTTTTTATAATATACTCAGTCTCAACACGAACACTTCGGATGGAGGTTGGACTCAACGTGGTGATACAATTATTCTGAATTGTATTGGAAGACTCGAAAACGGAATAGAGTCTGAACCTAAAAGCTCAGTAAAGAAGCAACAGGAATCACTTTATTATTTTATTATTATTGTTATATTGTCGTCGTATTTTCCTTTCATTTATTCAATAAAAGATTCTTATTCAGTATATATTTGATTTATTCCTATTTTCCGTTACAATTGGCGATCACACCAGGATATTACACAATATCAACTCAGAATAATTAATTATTTTGTATACCAATAATTCAGTTAAGAGATTAACTACTAGTAAAATGTCTGGACAGATAACTACACTCGAACAACTTCAGCAGCTCTTTAGAGAAGCATATGCAGGTACCCGGAATCAAGTTAGGCCGGTACTTATAGGAGGTGAACAAATTATCGAACTACCTGCAAGAATAGTGGCTCTTATGGAAGAAATTAGAGTAGACTTAATTAAAAAATACAAACAAACACCTGCACGAATGTATTTGGAAGAAGATTTAAAAATGCTGGAAAAACCTTTCTTTCAAAGACCGATCGAAGAGCAACAAGAAATCGAAAAACCGATACAACTATCAATACTTGGACAAGACACTTCAGTTGATGAACAATTAAAATCCACAATCGAGTTAGATGACGGACCCAGCCTAAGTTCACCTTGGCCCATGGAAACAGAATCGTGGCATATTCACGAAATCAAACCACAACGAATTCTAGATCTCCCTGAGAAAATGTCGAACATTCAAACAATTATTTCATCTAACGAGATAGTGTCTCAAACCGATGAAGTATACAGTCTTCAAGCGCTCAAAATTATAGAACTAGATGTACATCAACCCACACCCGCTGGAAAAAATTCTCAAAATGCCGAAACATCATCACAGTTTTTACGTGCTGTTCCATTAGTTAACGAGCAGCAACAAAGTCACTTTGAACCACCACAAATAACAAATGTACGATACAAGCCGAAATTAAGGCTTTGTCGACGTCATACGAATCAGAAACATCGGTTACATGACTTAGTATCCACTTCAAAACAATGGTTTACAAAGTCGTTACCCAATGTTAAAACAATTAAAATACGTCGGGATCTCGAATCACTTTTACTCTATGCCAGAGATGGAACCGGTCCGGTTTTTTGACGACCGGTACCGGTACCGGTCTAAAACTTTTAGACCGGACCGGACCGGCCGGTCTACCGGTTTGACCGGTCTAACGGTAAAAACCGGTAGACCGGCAATTACCGGTAGACCGGTAAGAAACCGGTAGACCGGCAAGTACCGGTAGACCGGTAAAGACCGGTAGACCGGCAAGAAACCGGTAGACCGGTAAAAATCAGTAGTGTAAAAGTCGTTAAATCGATTCGACTTGAACGAATGTTATACCAGATTTGACTGCTAACAACGTTCATATTTTTCCTCGTAGGGGGGTACAGATAAATTTTCGGAAAAAAAGTTATTTTTCGGGAAAAAAAGTTTTTAGCAGAAAACAGGGCAGTAAGAAACCGGTAGACCGGTAAGTACCGGTAGACCGGCAAATACCGGTAGACCGGTAAGAAACCGGTAGACCGGCAAGTACCGGTAGACCGGCAGACCGGTAAATACCGGTAGAGTTACCGGTCTAAAGTTCGGACCGGTACCGGACCGGTACCGGACCGGACCGGACCGGACCGGACCGGCCGGTTGCCGGTACCGGTTCCATCTCTGCTCTATGCGATACTTTAAAATATGACTTAATTTCAAACGCAATATTTGGAGTTTAGGCCCTTGGATTGGTACGGATATTTGTTTTGAATGTATCGATACACGTTTTGCTAAACATAAATGATGGTGCTCGAACATATATTATTATGAATTTATAGGAACTTTAGCTATTTCTATGAAAATCCTTATGAATCTCTATTAAATCCGATGAATTATTAAAAAAGGATATATATGGTATAAATATTATAAATATTATGATTTTTATATATGATGAATTCTTATGAAGTTGCACGAGTTACAATATACTATTACGAATGAATATGAAGTTTTACAAACTGAAATATATTAGTATGAATTAATATGAAATTTTATATTTTACTGAATACTTTCTAAATTTTTATACATTATTATGAAAGATTAAACAAGATTCAACTGCACACATCAACGATGAGGATAAATTTATTCAGAAGAAATTAACATAAGGACGACGATTAAAGGCAAGGATAAAAGTATTATATACAAACATTGATAAGGGCGACAATTGAACAGAAGGATAAAATTATTATATTCAAACGTTGATAAGGACGACAGTTGAACAGAAGAATAAAAGTATTATATACAAACGTTCATAAAGACATTCATCAATGGCAAGGATAAATTCATGCCGAAAATTTTTACATAATGGGATGGCTCGACAAACAAAAGAGAGTATTAACAAGACAAACGTTGATGAGGACAACTATCAAAGACAAGGATAACTGGAGTGGATGACAGTTTCGGCACTTAAATCCACGACTACCTGATAATTTCTGTGATAACGTTAGTGAGTAATTGAACATTATTTTGTCGCAACATGTACTTTTTCTTACTATATTCATATATATCCATTTCTTTTTCATTCATCTCCACACGCATCAGTATACTTATGATTTATTCATATCATTTTTTTTGCTTCATATGTGCTCGCGTTTTCTTTTCTTTTCTTTCTTTTTTACTTTACTTTACTTAGTTTTATGTTAAGTTTTTCTTTTTTGCTCTCGCGTTCATTTTCTCCCTACAATATGTACAGTGTGCTCTTTCTCATTCTGTTTTCCTATACTTTATGCTATACAGACGCTCGGGAGCGCGTCTCAATTAAAGGGGAAGATGTGCCCAGAGAATAGGTGGACATCCTCTCAGATATACCCCCCCCCCCCCTTTATCACATTTATCTTTCTCTCGTTCTGTATCTTTCGCTTGTTCTGTTTCTTTTCTCTTTCTTTTCGTATTCTGGTTTTTATAATATACTCAGTCTCAACACGAACACTTCGGATGAAGGTTGGACTCAACATGGTGATACAATTATTCTGAATTATATTGGAAGACTCGAAAACGGAATAGAGTCTGAACCTAGAAGCTCAAACAAGAAGCAATAGGAATCACTTTATTATTTTATTATAGTTTTATTGTCGTTATATTTTCCTTTTATTTATTCAATAAAAGATTCTTATTCAGTATATATTTGATTTATTCACTTTTCCGTTACAACAATATCTTGAATAACTTAGCAAGCTTCTTGCGTTCCA